GCCCCCCCCCCCCCCCCCCCGTTAAAAGCGAGCTTCCACGAGGTCTCGCTCTCTCTCACCCCTCTCTGGCCCCTTGTGTGTCTCGCACACCCCATCCCTTATTGTGTTTCCCTCTCCCCATTAAAGCGCACCCACGTGGGAGCCGCGTGTCCCGTCTCTTCCTTTTGCGCGTGTCTCGTCTATCCTGTGTTTGTCCACACACCCATCCATTTTTAAAGGAATAATACCATTTTTAAAGGAATAATACCACCGAACTGATCCCAGCGCAATGGAAAGCCATGCATGGGCAGGACATTTTCCCAGATGCACTTGGTTCCCCCTTTAAAACGGGGGAGGAGGGGGGAACACGCCACAACTCGCCCCTTTCCTCCCTCTTTCCTTTCGTCTCGTCACCCCCGTCCCTCACCTGTTGTCACCCCCCTCCATTAAAGTTCACCCACGTGGGACTGCCGTGTGTCTCGTGTTTTCTCTCCAACCCCGCCGTGTGTTTTGTGTCTCCATCCCTCCCCCGCAGAAAGAATAACAGTCTCTAAGCCAAACTTTAGAGAGCCATATTCTTAGCTGAAAATCCCTTTCCCAGATGACTGTAGCTTTTGTTAAGTTTACAGAAAACTAACATGGCTATTTGATGTGTTGTCTCCTCAATATCTCTCAACATTGTGCTGTTGTCCAGAATCCTGCCTCCTTCCTGAAGCCTCTCTGCCATCAAGCACAGCTAGCTTTCCCAAAGTGTGAGGTGATAAGTTCCTGATCAAATAATACACTGCTGAGCTTCCCATATGGACTACATTGCTGGCCTTCTAAGGGGCCCACAATCACTGTAGGCATTTTGGTCATTGCTCATGAGGGTGACAGACTGCTCGCTCACTGTGAATAAACATGGGAGTTCCTATGGTCGGACCAAACCTCTAATTCTTGCTGCTTTCTGTCTCTCCACAGATGCCTTTCAATAATCCAACATGAGGTACAAAATTAATTCCAACAGGCCAGCCAGAAACTCCAGCCACTGGTTTTTAGTACCCAGTGAACATATTTGCTTTTCAGGAAAGAAAACTCAGAAATCAACATCAAATACTCATAATTCCAACGCATGATAAACTAAATCTTTGAATTAGATTCCTAATTATGCTATTTTAAAGCCTCATATATGTCTATATAATTAGATGTATAATTATGTATATTATATACTCACACATACACCTCTAAAATGAGAACAGAAACTACCCATCTTGTAGTAACTTCTCATGCAGTTAGCTAACCTAGGAGGCCCGCTCAATATATGGCAGTTAGGTATTCATATTTTGGTCACAGAACTCAATCACTAATGCAACTGTACTTGGAGGTGTGGGTTTCGAAGTTTTTTTGGTGGCGAACTCTATAAATAGGATTAGGTGATTGTATAAAGAGACATGTCATGGCTAGTGAATTCCTGGACACCGCTTCCATCCCGTTAGTCACAGTTTCTCTGAGTACCATGGAACAATGCTCCATCTTGAAAGCCCTGAGAGAG